ATATCTTCTGGTTTTGTGGCCTTAACCAATGAAGAAACAAAACCAATGTTTCAACCAGAAAAATTTATTTTTCGGTAGGTTGTTTTTTGAGTGCAAACTTGAATGTTTATGTTTTATATAAATATATTTTTACTTGTGTTTAATAAAATTTTAACAGAAAAACTTTGCATCCTTTCAAACATTTATGTATTAATGATGCTGGTTTTATTTTTTTTGTAATGGTTAATGTTCATGCTTTCACACCTGTAACAATTTTTCACATAAGTTTATTTATAAAATAAGCTGATTTTATAAAAATAAAAGCTGATTTATAAAAAAATTATCTGTATAAAAATTTAAGATTTTCAAATTTTTTTTTATTATTCTAAAAATCAAATCAAATATTTAATCCCATATCAAGTTATAAATTATTACATTAAATCAGACTTAAAATATTTATTTTCTATTTAGAAAATAGTTGTTTATTAACTATTTAGAAAATGATTTTCTAATTGAACATAAAACTGTTTGAATGCGACTTGTCTGTGTTATATGTGGCCCCCGTTTATTTTTCTTATATAATCATATTTGACAAAGGCAACCTATTCTTGTTAAAAAAAAATGATTTGCTATCTTTCAGGGTGTGCTTTTCTTGCAATTTGTAAAAATAGTTCTTTGCCATGTTTAAAAGCAGTTCACTTTTGTATCAGATTTTTTCCTTTTTTTGTCTTAAGGGTTTGGTCATTGTCTGTATTTTTATGGTTTTAACATTCTTTTTGTTAATACCATAAAAATTACTATTATTTTGATATTATCAGCAATACGCTACTGTACTACTGCAACACTACTGTACCACTGCAACACTACTGTACCACTGCAACACTACTGTGCCACTGCAACACTACTGTACCACTGCAACACTACTGTACCACTGCAAAAGTACTGTACCACTGCAACACTACTGTACCACTGCAACACTACTGCAACACTACTGTACCACTGCAACACTACTGCAACACTACTGTACCACTGCAACACTACTGTACCACTGCAACACTACTGTACCACTGCAACACTACTGTGCAAATATCATATCAATAAGTAATTAAGATTAGTATTATCTACAAATTATAAACTATTAAATCAGTCTTGATTAGTCATCATTAAGTCAGTCTTGATTATTCAGCCAGATTTAGTCACAACTGACTGGTTTGTGATTAAACATGTTTGATTTAATGGAATTTTACAGCAATTTTATTTAGGTTTTAAACATATTTTTAGGGCTCAATCAAATATAATAGATCTTGCAGTGTCTAATAACATTATGGTTGTTGCTCTGGAGGGATGTCAAGTTAAAAGAATTGAGCTCTCTAATCCATTTGAGGTTGACAGTAAGCACATTTTTCAATTTCATTTTAGTGTTTAATTATATTTTTATGTGGTATATTCAACTACAATTCAATAACTGCAGTTGTGGCCAGACTTCATGACATGAGCACAAAAAAAAAAACGATTTGTGAACAAAAAATATTTATTTCTACAAAAAAATAGGTCAAAAGCAAATAATTTTTATAACCATTTTTATCAAAGCAAAGTTTTTCAATTTTTGCGTTGTTGAGATAAATAGAAGTATCAAAAAGCTTTTTATGCAGTTAGTTATAGCAAATGTTTTTTCACAAATGTATGTTGAGCCAAATTTACCCACAAATTTGAGTGTCATGTTATTAAGTTCTAAGAAATTTATTTTTGGGACAACAATGCTTTCAGGTCTGGAGCAATTAGCGACAAACAGTTCTTGAAATTTGGCTTTTAATCCAGTGTGATTTTGAGTGTCTGTATTTCCAATTTCCAATTGCAATTTTGGCGTATAAATGCTAATATCTTTATCTGATATAGTAAATGGGTTGATTAAGAGCAAAATATTCTTACTTTTAGCTTAAAAATCTGCTAACTGAGATTCAAATGATTGCAAAAGTTTCAAACTGGCAGCTTGATCTTTTGAAACGAAATACTTGTAATTTTACTTTCAATATCTTTTATTTCCAACTTATGTGTTAAAAGTAGATAAAAACGTTTATATGATATGTTGTTTGTGAATAATTTTAGCTTTGCCATATTAGCATTAATTTGGTTAAATGATTTAAAAAAATAAATTATTCTTCCCAAAAAATTTTAAATATTTAGACAATTTGTTATATCTACTAAAAATTCAATATGTTACATAACTAGTTCAGGTTTTTCAGAAAAAGAAAAACCTGAAATGTTTCATGCTCTAGTGATAAACAATTTTTTTCAATTGCTTTCAAAATTTGTAACACTAAATTTTTCAATTCACAAAATCTGACCCAAATTTTGCTTTTTGATAACTATCATTGATGATATCTGTAACAGCAATTTTGAAAAAATGGCTAAATTCCGTAACAGTTTTAATATAAATATTTAAATTTCACATATTTAACTTGTAGCACTTTTAATAACATGGCTAAATTCTGTATTTTTAACTTGTATCAGTGCAAATACTGTTAATTTATTCCAGTTTAAATAGTCACCGTAACTATTTTAATTTTCAATAAATTTTTTTAATGCTTCAAAAATATCAGATCCAGTTGATTAAGTTTGAAGTAGACAGAGGCAAGATGTTCTCAGAAAACATCACAGTTGTTATTGACACATCTTGTGTAAATTAATAGTTGAGCATTGTCAGTTAAATTTATAGGGTAAAAAGATTCTATCAGTTGACCAGCCTTGCACCCCTTCCCCAATTACCAATCAAAACCATTATTTCCATATCTACCAGCAAAACAATTCTCCAGAAAATAGATGTCTGTTTACTATTGTTAGAAACCATTAAAAAAGTTTTTGTCTTATGCCAAATCCCGCTATTCTCAAGTCATGAAATCTCGTATTTCATCTCAAAAATTAGGTTCTTGTGACTTCTGGAGAATCTTTAACAGTATCAATAATAAGGGCAAGTCTGTTATTCCACCTCTCTCGTATGGTTCAGATTTTGTCTCCTCTCATAAAGCCAAAGCTGAATTGTTTGCTAAGAACTTTTCATCAATATCATTTCTTAATTCTACCTGATATAGCCAACAAATAGGTTGATCCATTGCTTGACATTTGTATCACTTCAGCTTCTGTATCTAAAGTGATTTCCTGCTTAGACTCTTCTACAGCTTGTGATCCTGTTATAGTCTTGCAGAAGTGTTCTCTGGAGCTGTCGTCTGTTCTTTCAAAACTATTTAACAAATGCTTATCAGAGTTTTGTTTTCCAGCATGCTGCATCTGTTATCCCAATTTTCAAAAATTCTGGAGAGCAATCTGATTCATCTACCTACCATCCCATTAGTCTGCTTTCTACCATAAGCAAGATTTTTGAGTCTTTAACTAACAAACACTTAATCTCTCATTTTGAATCTAATAACTTACTTTCTGATCATCAATATGGATTTTGATCTTCTTGTTGTATAGGTGATTTGCTAACAGTAATAACTGATAGGTTTTATTGTGCATTATATAGAGGTGGAGAGGTTAAGGCTATTGCTCTTGACATTTCTAAAGCTTTTGATAAAGTTTGGCATGCTGGTCTTCTTCATAAGCTTTCTTCTTACGGTGTATCAGGTAACATCTTTAAGATTATTGAATTCTTCCTTTCCAATCGTAGTTTAAAAGTTGTCCTCAATGGACAGCACTCTTCTATATATTCTGTAACTTCAGATGTTCCTCAAAGTTCGATCCTTGGCCCTATACTCTTTTTAATTTACATTAACGATCTAAGGTGGTGTTGTTCACTGACGATACTACCATTCATGTCTTGATAAGAAGCCAACACTCTCTGATTGCTTGGAGGGAGTATTTGAGCTTGAAAAGGATCTCACTTTTGCTGCAGCATAGGGCTTACAGTGGCTGGTGAACTTTAATTCAGATAAATTTTTTTCAGTCAATCGTTATCGCAATAATTTAGATCTTCCTATATTTATAAAAGTTAATGTACTTAATGAGTCATCTACCCTTTATCTTCTAGTATTAACTTTTACTTTCGATCATTCTTAGAAACCATATATCATTCCATTGCAAAATTAGCTAAAAAATCTGCTAAAATTCCTTCTTTTTATCGTGCTCAACACCTTCTTACTCCAGATTCTATTCTTTATCTCTATAAATCACAAATCTATCCTTGTATGGAATACTGTTGCCATATCTGGGGTGGATCTTCCAATAATGCCTTTTCTCTTTTAGACAAGGTGCAAAAACACATTGTAAACATAGTTGGACCTGCTCTTGCAGCCAAGCTCCAACCATTATCACTTTGACATAATGTAAATTTTCTTGCTCTTTTCTACAAATACTATAACAGGCACTGCTCCCAAGAGCTAACATCTCTCGTGTTAAAATTCTACTAAGATTCATTCTTGTGTTAATCTTCATTCAATTCAATCATACTTTTTTTGTGTTTGAGTTTCAAAAACTCTTATTCGTTTTTTTCCTCAAACATCAGTTCTTTAGAATTTGCTTCCTTCATCTTACTTTCCTGATTCATATGATTTGCATTCTTTTAAGTTGTCTATCAATCTATAAACTTGATTTTTCTCTTCCAGTAATTTCCAACTCTAATAGTTGTTGCTTGCAGCCTTGTTGGAATCTGTTTTGTGGCGATAAAATTCTTTTACTAGATGCCAATTTATAGTGCAAACATAAGCAAATAAATAAAAAAATTTTGCCCAGCTAATACTGTCACTAATAATGAGTTTAAAAATATAAAGAAAAGTTTGGTTGACTTAAAATATAGTTGACTTGCATGTACACAAACAACAAATAAATTAATATAACTTTGCATATTTATTTTTTTAAATTTTCTTTTTAAAAAAAGTGATTTTTAATAATAAAGATTTTTAATCATAAAGATTCAACTTCAAGTCATAGGTAGTTTAAATTTTAACCGCCATTCTCCCAAATATTAAAATTGTTCAACAACCGTTAAAAAAAAAATCCCATTATTTTGCCTATAGACAGTGGTTGGCTATCCATTACTTTAAAAGTTTCTTTTTATATTTACCTGTTGTTATTTATTTCATGATTTTGTCTCTCCTGACCACTTTTTTTTTTCCAACTGAAAACGAAATGGAGAGTAGTTGGATGAATTAATAATATTGATAATTGATTCACAATTGATTGATAATTAATAATTAATTGATTGATAATAAATTTTTTTTAGCTGTTGTTATATCAAAAAGAAGCGATGATCAAATCGATAAAATCTTCCTTGACATATTAGGATGTCATCTGCTTATTTCAATGAAATCTTCAGAATCATTTTATCTTGGTCGAAACAATAAAAAGCCACGTTTGCTTCAAAAACTTAAAGTATACTTTAAAACTACTACTATTTAATTTAAAAAAATATTTTTTGCCAAATTCTTTTATTTAACAAAAATTATTTTACAATTATTTGCCAATATAATTATAATATAAGTCATAACTTTTTTTTTTTTAAATAGAATCATAAAATTGAAGCTGTAGCTTGGAACAAGTTTAGCATGAATGAAATAACTACTGGGCTAATACTAATTGGAACCAGCAAAGGTATAAATATGTGAATATATATGTATATATACACACCTAACAGCATACTTAGGTTAGCATTCTAAAATAATACTGAAATGGGAATCTGTTGGGAGCTTCTGTGTATACATCGGCTGATATAGGGAAAACAAACAGGGAGTTGCTGCTACATCAACTGAGGGTTTGAGCTAATTCAGTTAATTCAAAGTTAATACTATATCTTTTCTCTCTGCCTCCTAAGTTAAATATAAATAATCTTTTGACTACCACCATTGACTACCACCATATTTACCTGGCTTCTATTTGTTTAGCTTGAATGTCAGTTAGGGTCATTAGACTATTTTAGTTGCTACTGATTATTAGAAGGTTGCTTAACTAGGAATTTTAAGTTTGTATAAGTATGCAATATTTTAAGGACTGGTATGCGAAACTGAGATTGATTCAGAAGAAAAGTTTCTGTCAATGGGATCTGAAAAAAACGTCAAAGTGGTGACTTGTGTTTTATTTTATTTCTGTATACTTGTTATTTATTTTTATTATCAATTATTAATAATTTTTCTTGGTATTATATTGTCATATTTCTAATGGGATCATTTTTATGATTTTTTTAAGATGTAAATCTTACTTCATGCAAGTCAACTTTATAGATTTATTTTCATACATGTTAAGTTTTCACAATATTCAACACTTTATTGCAGTATTCAACATTTCATCAGAATATTCAGCTTTTTTTATGATTAATTTGATATTAAAATGGTTAGATTGATAGCATTAAAAACTACAAAAAAGAAAAACTTGATTTTGTTATTTTAGATATTTAATGTCAATGAAAATAGAGATATAGAAGAACCCTTGACTGGAATGCATATGGAAAAAATGAATGATATTGAAAACAGATATGTAGTTATTTTAACAACACCAAGGTATGAGGATAAGAATTATTTATCTTTTTAACTAATTGTACTCAACTAATAGTTCATACTTGTTATTAGTAATGTCAAAATCTTAACAAATCATTGTTCTCAACCCTTTAAATTTTCATTGACTGCCTTTTTTAATGCCAAACTCTGATGTCATTAAAACTAATTTTTGATTATAAAGTTTAATATATACTAATTTTCATCATTTATTTAGTATAATTTTTATAATTTATGTGTTACAATTTTTATCATTTATGTATTATAATTTTTATCATTTATGTATTATAATTTAGTCGAATGTATCAGTTTGTTGGAAATGCATCTATTGAGGTTGCAAGTTTTCAAAATGTTCTTTCTGTTTTTAATCCAGACCCTAGTAAGTAGCACACTTTTTTTAACTTTGTCATAAAAATTGTTACATAAAAGTTTTAAATATTAAAGATTGGTGCGTTCTTACTTAAACAACTTACTCAACTTCTATTTAATCCTCTCACTAGTCTGGTAGTCGAGTACCTAAATTAGTGTCTTCAGGTTAAGATGTGGAATTTAGGAACTTAATGTATTCAGGTTAAGATGTGGAATTTAGGAACTTCATAAATTTATAAATCTTTTGTTTTTGATTTTGTCTCTGTGAATACACAAGTAAATAACTAGATGCTTATTAATTGTTTGACTAAAAATAATAATAAGAAATTCATAAAAATATTATCTTTTTAAATAAATAATTACCTAGGTTTACCCACAGCTTCTGCACTTTGCCAAAATAATGGATAAGTTGGCAAAAATCTGGCTCAGCTGAGCAATAAGAATTGTTTTATTTTGAATATCAATATATTGTTGCAGTTTTTAACAATCTTATTTATGTTTTTAAAGATAGTTCATTGTCGCATATCACACCTAAACTAAAACCGAGTAATGCATTTCTTGTTAACAAAAGTACCTTTAATATTAATATATTTTTGATTGCTAGGTGGTGCCATAATTAATATTTTTGTTTTCGATTGGTTAATACATAAGAATGATTCACTCATTGATTTATATATGTATTTAAGACATTTTGGTATATCCAGGACTTGTACATTTTATTTAGATGAAGTTTTAACATTGATTATGTTCAGATATTTGTATTGTGGTCTCATATAGATATTAAAGAGTTTTGGATCCAGGACTGTACCTTGTGGTGCTCCATATTTTACATTTTAGTTTGTGGAATATGAGTTACCAATTTTAACTTTTTGGGTACTATTAACTTAAAATCATTCGAACCACTTGTGAGTTGAGTCAATTATACCTATTTCACTAGTCAAAAGCCCAAGTAGTTTTTACTGATCAATAATGTTAAAGACATTACCTAGATCAAGTAACAATACCAAAGGTGTATGTTTATCAAAGAGTTGAAATATATCATTAGTAAGCTTAAGTAAAAGGGTTTTCAGTGATGTTTTTTGTATCCAAATTGATATTCTATATGAAGATTGTTTGTTGTCATGTGGGAATCACGTTGGAAACTACTCTTTCTATTAACTTGCTAATGAATACTAAATTAGAAACTGGTCTATAATTTTTGAGGTTTTCAGTATCTGTGGCAGTCTAACTTCTTTATTAATAAAAAGTAATATAGCACTTTTTAGATAATCCATGCTGTTTGATTTTAGCAATAGGTTTACTATTTTAACTCATATATGTATAAATGTTTGTAAATTATTCCTTAATAGGTATGCTGGAGTTGGATCATCAGGATAACATTTTGCTACAAATGAGATGGTATATATGTATATATATATATATATATATATATATATATATATATATATATATATATACCATGTCATTTGTAGATATATATATATATATATTCATATATATATATATATATGTATATATATATATATATATATATATATATATATACATATACATATACATATACATATACATATACATATATATATATATATATATATATATATATATATATATATATATATATATATATATATGTATATATATATATATAAATATATATATATGTATATATATATGTATATATATATATATATATTGCTACAAATATATATATATATATATATGTATATATATATATATATATATACACTTACTAAATTTTATATATATATATATATATATATATATATATATATATACATATATATATATATATATATATATACACTTACTAAAGTTGTGCAAAGAATTGTTAAGAATCTTTTTTTAAACTTTTAAATGTGCGCGTTTATTAAACAATGGTTAGATATGTTGTTACTTTACTTAAAAAAGGTTTTGCATAATATTATAAAAACATTAGTAAAGATAAATAATTCAAAGTTATTTATTCCTAATGTAGTTTAGATAATTTTATCGTTATAGTTTATTAAGTTAATTTTTATTTTTGTTTTGGCTATTTTAATCTTAGTTAAGTTATTTTTATTTTGTTTTTCGTTATTTTTTTTACAAAGATTTATTTGCTTCTTTTACGTTTTTTTTTAAGTTTCTTTAAGATTTTTTTAGCACGTTTTTAAAACGTATACAAATTTTCAAAACATATTAACAGCCGTGGTCAAGTTAAATAAAATCAAATAGTATTTGCTTGGTCATATTGTGACATGCAATTGCACGCCTTCCTGACCAAGCCTATATATATATATATATATATATATATATATATATATATATATATATATATATATATATATATACTATAGCATATTTATGTAGCAAATTGTTATCGTTATTTTGTTACTTTAATTAAATATGCATTTTCAGAAAAAGAAGAAATGAAGAATAATGAAAAAAAAGATTGCTGCCCTAAGCCAAACCCTCAGTCGCTGTAACAGCACTCTGCTCCAAGTCTGTTTTTTTATGACATCATTTCTGTATGTTAAATGCTGCATTTATATTTGTGTATGTATATATATATATATATATATATATATATATATATATATATATATATATATATATATATATATATATATATATATATATATATATATATATATACATATCAGGACTTGTGATGAAGCAGGAGCAATCGCTTTGCACACGTGAAACATGTCTGTAAAAGGCCTTCCTGGCGCGACAAATAGCATTCACTAATTTTGTTATGAGAGTAAAAAATTACTCTCATAACAAAATTAGTGAATGCTAATTCAACATAATTCTGTTTTATTAATGTTTAATAAAATACATAATTAATGTTAATGTATAAGGGGAATAAAACAGTTTTTATTCCCCTTATACATAACATTAATAAAACAGAATTATGTTTTATTAATGTTATGTATAGGTAGAATGGAACATTAATAAAGTGGAATAAAACATAATTCAGAATTATGTTTTATTAATGTTATGTATAGGTAGAATGGAACATTTTATTGGAACATTCTGAGTTTATAAAAGTTAAAAATGTTACTATTTTATTTTTTTTTTTAATTCCAATTTACTCCCAACAAGGCTGCAAGCAACCTCTATTAAGTTAGGAGTTACTAGAAAACAAAGAATTGAGTTAAATTGGAATGAAATGGTCCTTGCATGGTCTTCGCAAATGGCAGATGCATTTTTATAACGATAAAATATAAAAGTAAAGATAAATATAAAGAATATAGAAAAAACCAAACTACATATAAAAATATTATTTATTTTATAAGCACAAGTAATTCATATAAATTAACTTAAAGCAAACACGCACACAAAAATCATTCAAAAAGGAAAAAATATATATATAAAATAAAAAAAGAACTTTAAATTAAAAAAATAAAAGAACACTTTATAAATTTAAATAAAAATAAAAAAAGAAAACAAAAGAACGAAAGTAAAGTGAAGTAAACAAATAAAAAGAAAGAAAAGTTAAGAATTAAATAAACAATTAAAAAAGAAAGAAGTAAAAGTAAAAGTTGAGCAAAAAGATTTTTTTTTTTTTAAATAATTTTTATTTTTTCTTTGCGATATAATTTGTAATCATGGTTACAATAATTCATTAGTTATCATTTTTCAGTCATTATATTATTTGTTTTCTCACATTATATTATTTATTTATAGTTAATTGTATTTATTTTTAGTCCTTGTTTGATACCTAGTTATTTTATTTATTACATATATTTTTGATATTATACTCTTATAAAGTTATTTATTATTGACTTATTTTTATTATTGTTTTTTTTTTTTTTTAATTTTATTTGCATTCACTCCCAACAAGGCTGCAAGCAACCACTATTAAGTTGGGAGTTACTGGGAAAAAAAAAGAACAGAGTTATAGAGCAAGAAAACGGTTGACAGAAGACTTGAAAAGTTGAAGGTTGTATGAGTCAGGAATCTTGCAGCTGGTAGGAAGGTTGTATGAGTCAAAAAGAACAGAGTTATAGAACAAGCAGCTGATCTTGAATCTGATCTCACTGAAGTGAGATCAGATTCAAGATCAGCTGCTTGTTCTAGGCGATCGAAAAGAGAAGACTTTTTGTCAAGACAGGAGTATAAAGTTGAGTCATCAGCAAAAAGAGCTACTTTAGATGAAAGGTTGTCAGGAAGATCGTTTATGTAGATAAGAAACAAAACAGGGCCCAAGATGGAACCTTGGGGAACCCCAGAAGTTACTGGAAGTAAAGAAGAGTGTTGGCCTTCAAGGATGACTTTAATAAACCGGTTAGAAAGAAATGATTTGATAATCTCAAAAACTTTCCCAGAAACACCATATGAAGCAAGCTTATGGAGAAGACCAGCATGCCAAACTTTGTCGAAAGCTTTAGATATGTCGAGAGCAATAGCCCTAGCCTCACCGCCTCCATCTAATGCACGATAAAATCTTTCAGTTACAGCAGTTAGCAAGTCGGCCGTAGAGCGAGAGGATCGAAAGCCGTATTGATTGTCTGACAGTAGTTTATTTGACTCAAGATGAGATGTGAGGAATTTGTTGATCAAAGACTCAAAGACCTTGCTAATAACAGAAAGAAGACTGATCGGACGATAATTGGAGGGGTCAGAATTTTCTCCAGAGTTTTTGAATATTGGAACCACAGATGCCATTTTCCAACAAGCAGGAAAACAAGACTCAGTCAAACACTTGTTAAATAGTTTAGAGAGAATTGAAGAAAGTTCTGGAGAACAATTCTGCAAGACTGTGACAGGAATGTTGTCTGGACCACAAGCTGTAGACGAGTTTAATTGAGATATGACTTTAGCAACAGAAGCCGGAGTGATTTGGATGTCTAACAATGGGTCAACCTGTTTGACTGGAATGGAAGAAAGAGAATGTCTATAAGATTCAAGATTGGAATTAGAAGAAAAGTTCTTTGCAAATAGTTCTGCTTTATCCTTGGGAGAGGTAATAAGATCAGTCCCATGAATGAGAGATGGAATGTT